ATATAGGGTGACGGTTTAATTTACTTTATCATGTAAAGTATATGAGTAGTGACGGTGTAAGAATATCTAATAACCCATATCACCCCGTGGGTCGTAAGAGCCAACAGAGGGAAACAAATCAGGAGATGGGCAGTAGTAGCGTCGTCCTAATACAACGTGGCAACTATTTCAATCAACCCTATCAGGCAATCTATGGTGGAGGCATATGTTCAGCAGGACTATGATAGGACTTTAATATAACGGTATGTAGCATGCAATTAAAATATAACTAAACCAAAATAATTAATAACATAAAATTAGTAATATACAAACAAAAAATACTAATTACCATTAAAATTACAATTATATGTTATAAATTATAGTCACTTTATTACAGGTCAGAAGAGGAGCCAGCTCTTCTAGCGCTAATAGAGCGCTGGTTAGAACGAACGCCTGGTCTCAACACCCACGGGTTTAATTTTTGGGGAAAATTCCAGGCAGCTGTTAACACAATGCTCAAAGACGATATTGAAGAAGCAATGGTAATTTCTAACCTTTAAATTCATGTTTAGTACCCAAGCACTTACGAAATTGCACGTGCCGTTAAAGTAATGAAACAACTTATAATATAATAGTCGTAAATTTAAAAAATATAGTTTTTTGTTTCATAATAATATTATATTTTATTAAACGTACTTGTTTGGTGGTGATTTACTTATCTATTGATGAGTGATTTAATAATCTTAAATGTATATTAACATTTAAATAATTAAAAATGAACAGCGTGAACCAAACGAAGTGGCCCGCCGCCATCGATTGCAAGACGCTGAAAATCGGCGCGAGATCTACCGTTCTATTTTCGATCCAGCTGTTCACGACGCGCTGCGATCACGAGGCGAGAGGAGGTAATAAAATTCACACAAAAACATTCAAATACAACACAAAAATTAATTTAAATTCGTAATAGTAATTCCTACGCCGCAATTATTAGCGGTGGAAGATAAATAACCGTGTAGCAGAAGTGTAAGAATATCAACTAACCCATATCGATAAAAATAGTACACACACACACACACACACGCACGCATGCATTCGCATCGCAACAAATGTCATTATCAGAGGAAAAAAAACTGTAAACACTCCCTTTTAGTCTGTAAGTTATTCTTTGTAATACATATCTCATAAGTATATAATATAATATATAGATATTGATACGGAAGAGCGGATTCCCCCGCTACAGGCATTAATTTCTTAAAAGGAATCCGGCCACTAATGTCTGTAAACCAATTCTATTTGCTGAAATATATTTTATTATTATTATAATATATTGTCCCGTGCGTGTAGTAATAGGCGATAGTGGGAAACTGCAACAGGAGACGGGAAGAGGCATCTTCCTGATAACAACTGAATAAACAAATACTGCGGTTGCCAACAATGGCAAATATCCCCCCCCCTCCCCCACCTCCCCTTTGGCTTTAATGGTAATAGAATGGAAGATAAATAAAGATTAAAGAATTTTCTACTTCGGTTCAGGAAGTAATTTATCTTCTTTGTCCCTTTCGAGAAAGAATTAATTAACTAGAGACCCATTTCATCCCGTGAGTGTAGCCCTCACACTTGTATTAACGTGTTAAACTGAGAATAATAACGTATCATCATCATCAGCCTGCGGCTAATCCATTTCTGGACATAGGCCTCTCTTTAGGCGCGCCGGTTAGCCCGGTCTTCGGCTACACGCAACCAGTTTTTACCAGCCACTTTACTCAGAAAGTCGCTCCCTCTAGTGAAGTTGGCTGCAGGTGTTCATGGACTTCAGCATTAACTTACCATCAGTACGTCAGCACGACAAAGAGAGGCTTCTGGAACGGCAATCGCCAATCTGTCTGCCTTGCGTTGCGATTATGGTGATTCCTCTCAACAACTATAAAGGCCCTTGTTCAATAGTGAATTTATAGAGGCTGATGAAGTAGAAGATAAAAGGTGTAGATTGACTGTGCAGTGGCGGTGTAAGAATGTCCACAACTCGATATAACGTCCCGTGGGTGTCGTAAGAGGAGGAAAACTGAAATTCTTCCTAATAACAACTAAAAAATTAAAACAGCAGTTGCCAACCCGTCTGCCAAGCGTACAACTTTGGCAAATATCCGACCTATGAGGCAATGGTATTGTGAAGGCCTATGTTCAGCGGTGGACTTTTAAGATTCTGTAATAATTGAATGTGTGAATGAATCATTTTTTTATAGAATGATAACGGCAAACTAGCACACAGTCCACCTGATGGTAAGTGGATGCTGTGGCCCATAGACATCTACATTTATCCTCGATTAAGAATAAAAATGCAGATGCGTTGTCACCCCTGAGGACTAAGATGTAATGCTTCGTTTCCAGTAGTCTCCGGATCTCTACATTCACCATACGAAACACAGCAGCATTATGCGGTATTTAAGCTGGTATTCTGTGAGAGCGTGGTCCTGCCCCGGACGAGCCGACCCGTGCTACAACAATAATATAGCTTCAGCGTGGCTCTACCACGTGTAAAAATCTTTATCGTGATTATAAGCTTATAAGTCATGTTTTGTGTTCTAGGTTGTCCTACAAAGCTCTTCAGGGGGCCATCATGATCACTTTCTACCGTGACGAGCCCAGATTCTCCCAACCTCACCAGCTCCTCACTCTGCTTATGGATATGGACAGCCTCATTACTAAATGGCGGTGTGAGTATTTTGCGTTTGTCTCACGATCTGGTGATAAGAACCTGCGTGGACTAGTGATTATAGTAACTGGCTAATGTGGCGAGGGGCTAAGATTCGATTTCAATTTGGTGCAAATTTTTGCACATATATTGCCAGCGAATTGCACCAACACATTCGAATGAAAATCGAAAAATGAGTAGGATTCGACTAGTGTACTTGAACTTTGAGAGTTTTAAAGTATTTTTGTTTAAAATAACTTTATTCCAGTCTTGAGTCCTTGAGTCCAGAGTGAATCCGTAATTGAACTGAGATTGGAACACAAAATGACTCGATTTGGACGAGCGTGTTTGAAATATAAGATTGTAAAAGTTCAGTGTTTGAAACATAGAATACTATAATACATACATAATAGAACGGGGGAGTGGGCGGAGCCCGTGTAGCCACTAACATGGCACTAACACGTCAGTTCACACGTATAAATGTCAACACAATCAATCGTTTCCAGTTTTCGTGTCAAGCGTCGCTGCATGCAAATTATTTAAAAAATGGCAAAATGTGCAATAATTACGTGTCGAAAGAATAGCGGGAAATGGAATTTAAATAAAGGAGACATTTTCTACAACCAGTTATTCGAAACTATTTATATTTTGTGGATATTAGAAACAAAAATAAGGAAACATTTAGTGTCAAAAACATTAATCAAAAGTCGAAAATGTGTTTGTAGTAGTGATAACTGATAATACGACGTAATTACTTGTATGTGTGCTCCCGGCGACGCCAATCCTCCTACAAAGTAAGGTTGACAGCCATTCTATTGTGTATTATAGTATTCTATTGTTTGAAACAACTTTATTCACAGTGGAGGACTGTATATATTCTTTACAATGTTACTCGATACCTCTCATTTCAGACCGTTTTGGTTTAAAATATTTTATTTTTAGACATGTTGGTTTCACATAATGTTTTCCTTCACTGTCCAGCAGGTAAATTAGCAATCACGCAGAAACGCATATTTTTTATTTCAAAAAAGAATGTTACCCAAATACTTACCACTTATTTGTTGCGCGATTCAGAAGACATTCTTAGTGTTAGAGAACCGTTTTAAAAAAATAAAAAAATATTTGTCCAGATAACCACGTGATAATGGTACAACGGATGATCGGCTCGCAACAACTTGGCACTGGCGGGTCATCGGGCTACCAATATCTTCGCTCTACGCTCAGGTAAGGCAGGAAACGAACTTAATTCGGTGACAACCGCCTGGCTTGATGCTCGCTAAACAATTTTTTATATCGTATAATAGATAAATAGGATAACAACTGAATACATAGTTCATCCTTTTACTGAAAACGAGGCATTCCATCTTAGTCCTCAACGATGACAAACGCATCTGCATTTTGATCTTAATCGAGGTTAAATGTATAGAAGGGTAAGGCCACAGCATTCACTTACAATCAGGTGGCCGGTGAATTTGTTTAATCAAATGCTTATTTTCAGTGATCGCTACAAAGTATTCTTGGACCTATTCAACTTGTCAACGTTCCTATTGCCGCGATCGCTCATACCCCCGCTGGACGACGGCATGAAACGCAGCCTCAACTTGACATGGGGGGAGAACGTCAGGGAGAACAGTCAAAATGGGCAAAATGGACAAAATGGCCTCGAGGCTTCACTATGATAAGATACTGTTGCTATTTAGATGTATATTCTAACTAGGGTAGTGGATATAGTAATTGGCCCTTTAAGCGAAATGTGTAATATAACTCTTTATAAATAAAATGAAAACTTATCTTTTATTTTTAATTTTATATTTCTATCGTAAAAAAACAACATTTCTTTCGTTCTATATTTTGACATTTTTAATTTTAACCTTAAGAAAGTATCTGAGATCACATAAAATGTAATTATTGGCCCCCAAATCACAGTTATTAGCCTCTTAAAGTACAGTTATTGGCCATCACACAAAAAGGACGTTAATTAAATAGTATAGGACGAAATCCTAGTTCCAACTGTTTTTCTTTGATGCTACATAAAAATTCATCATCAGAATGATGAATTTTTATGTAGCACACACCAATGAAGTTTTCATTATTTTCATCCCCATTTTCGCTATTTTCAGCGACAATATTATAACAGTGGTAACTGTGTTCTCTTGGATTTGTAACCGTCTATGAAAATTACGCTTACATTGAGAACACGTTAAGTTTCCTTTCTTCTCGGGTTTTTTGCAAATAGTATTACAGGTCTGGTTAAACATAATTTTATATTTTTATTAATTTTGGCAGCCATGGTTTCTTTAGCCTTTCTTTTTCTATGTTTTATTTTTCCTTAGCCTTTTCTTCTAGAATCTTTCGATATTCTGTTCCTGATATGTATGTGTATGGGTGGTATGTGTACAAAATCTTTAAGACCGGCTTTTAGATCTTGACGTGGAAGAGCTTCGTCTACAATACTAAAGTCTTGCGAAGTAATAAGATCATCTGGTTTTAATGTTTTTGTGGAGATTTCGTTTTCTCTTTCTATTGCATCAAAGTTACTTTGGTCTATTTTATTTATCTCAATGCTCGTTTTAGTAATAATTGTATTTTTTTTCTGTTGAATAATTAGAAATCGCATGTATTTGTGTTTTTCTGTATTTAAAAGTATTTGCTGTCTGGAGCGGTGGCTAAGCTTTAGGCACACTCTGCTTTATTCTGTCGGGTAATCTTTGGTAGGGATAGACAATTGTAGGTAAGACATTTTCTCCGTCAGCTGAAACAGGACTGTCATGTTTTCTTTGGCTTTTCCTTTATCTACTATGTACACGTTTTTTTCTCCTCTCTCAGCAAAAACTCTTCCTGTTGTTGGGCAAGTCTGAAAGTCACTTTTATCTGCGTTAAAAATCCTTCATGGATTCTCTAAGACACAGTTTAGACCTGATTATTCTAGTAAACTTGTTACTTCAGCGAAACAGTTATGTATATCTTTCTCTGTAACACAAGCGCTTGCGTAAGTAACTGCTTCTCCCGTCCTTTGTGTGATTCTTGGACGACATTTTAAAAAACCTTTCAACCACCCTTTCCCAGGTCTATTATTTGCAAATGGGGTCTCTCGAGAATTTGCAATGTATCCCATATTTTTTGCTGGAGTTCTTAAAGGGATTCCGTGGTTAATATCTTCTAACGCGTTATTAATATGCTCATATTTTGGTATTTTTGGCATCTTGTCACAAATCTATGCAAAAGTTATAGGAAGAATTAGTTGTTGGCCTAGCTTAGAATTTAGTTATTGGTCCCCCGGCTAATTACTGATCCCGATAGGCTAGGTTACTAGGACTTTAACTGCATATTTATTAGGGTCAAATTGACTTAAATCTTGAATAAAATTACAAATTATTACAGTTTATTGTAATTATGGCCCTAGGGGGCCAATTATTGAAATAAAATAAAATTTGATACAGTTATTGGCCAGTGAACTTTTTTTTAGGTTGGGTTAGGAGAATCATATGTAACTTTATAATTTACGTAAGCCACCCTTTCTCCGTTAAAAACATGCAGTAAAACATCACAAACAAACCAAAAAAGTAGTTTTACGTCAAAAAATGGAAAAAATCTCACCTTAATATTTCGACAACCATGCAGCCTCTCTCGCGACAGTTTTAAGAAAGAAAGTTTTTGTTGTTTGTGGTACCATCTGTTATTATTTTATTGTATTACAATGAACTGAGTATTGTTTTATGAAGATATTTGTGTCACTTTCTCTCTCATAACTACTCAGATAAGACTATTTCAGTCAAAATAAATAAAGATGGCCAATTACTATCGCCTGGCCAATTACTATATCCACTACCCTACTTAAGCTTAGTTCTGCGACATGAACAACTGTCAAATCGAAATGATGCCGAATAAAAGGGATGGTATGTTGTATTATCGGTTATATTGCCGTTATCAATGTTTAAAATGTATGATTTGTGATTAAAATAGTTAACTTACCTCCGTATTTTTATTTAATGACAAACACTTGTAGAAGGGATTAAACTGCGATTATTTCTATCATTATATCGCATAGAGTAGCTTGAAAACACAGGATTTTTAAATGCTGCGATACACATTGTAAAAAAGAGCAAGAACTGAAGATGGCACACTTTGTTTGCTTGGGAACGAATAGAAGAGGTTCTTGAGGACGATGACGAAAGCTTAAAATTTCCAAAGGTTCCGAGTTGCGTGTTGATATCACGTCGGGGTCACCAATTTGGTCGTGGAAGGAAAAGCCTTCCACCGGTGAAAGTGTTCAACCTAGGGAGCGGCCAACACATTGAGTGGTAGTCTAGAGCTATTCCAAATACACCGGAGTACTTTGGAAACTTCGATAGCGTTGTTTAGGCTTCAGTTCGTTTCGCTTGTGGCCCTACTACCTTGCCCCAGAAGGAGCGTAATGCTATACGAGAATATGTATGTATGTAAGTTTATTTTGTATGGCGCGCTCTGTAGCCTAAGCAGCTTGATGGATTTTAACATACAGGATGTCCTTAGATTTGTCTTAGTAATGGAAGTGACATAATGTATAAAATGTACTCTTCTCACTAACCTTATTTACGTCGTCGGGTTTTTTTTAAATCACTGTTTTAACCTTGTAAGCTTGTATATGAAAAACATTGAGGCAGATGTTAAATATCTTATGCAATCACACTGTTTAGTTCCTTCTTTGTGGGCGAGAACGGAGTAAGCAAAATCCACAATACTTCTACATACTTTAAAACTTTTTACTTTCTACATCCATGAGAAAATAAATATATAATTTATTCAATTCTATGCTATAACCAAATCAAAAACACGTCTGGTTTTTTGCTCTATTTTATTTAGAACGGCAAGTCGACGACCACGTTTGGTCTTATCGTCAACATTGCTTCGTTCATCTAAGCTCTAAGCTATAAATGACACAAATAAATGAGTTCAAGCAATACACTTTAAAGTTAATTTAGATATATAGATATTTTGGAAGAAAAGTTTTAATCATGCTAACAGAGGTCCTGACACCGAAGTATGTTTGTAAATAGATTCAATAATGAATGAATATTTTATGACAAATGGCCGATTTTTTAATTTTCAGATAAAAGCTAAAGGTTGAAATAAAACAGAAACAAATTAAAAATTATAATTTTATGTATAAAATAATTAAATTGTTTTAATTTTATATTCATTCAGGTTGTAATTTCTTTGATAGATCAAACATATTATAACTTGACTCGATGTAACTATTAACTTAGAGATTAAAAAATCGACCCTTAATTTCATTTGGCTATAAAAAAGGTAAAGTGAGTATTGCTTCTCGTTACAAGCTGTACTGAATCTTTCAGCATGCATTTGGAGATCTATCTGTTCAGTTGGCTGTAGGCTGTCACATCTGTTGAAGACTGCAGTTTTATTTTCCGTTTAACAGCCATGATTAAAACTTAATCTAAGTGTGATCAGAATTCTTCTGCAGCGGGTCTTGCAAAACTTAGCTCCGACTGCACTGGGCTATTATCACGAGCTTTTCAGTTATATCGTTTGGCAGCCTTCTAGGTACGGAAAACGATTTTGTAATTCGAGTTGAGTTTAGCTGTGGGTGTGGGGCTGTTTTAGGGAGACCAGCTTTGTTTTCTTCCGTTGCTCCTTACGAAACCCATGGAGCGATATGGAGTAGTGGCTATACATACGCTGCCACTAAACATCAATACCCAAAAAAAGATGAATATTTTCCCACAAATGTTTACACCTGCGATTCGAACTTTTGTATGTGGTTGAGCCACGCTGCAGCTATATTATGATTGTAGCACGAATGGGTCGGCTCAACCGGGGTAGAAGCACGCTCTCACAGAATACCATCGTAGAAACATAACATAACATAAACACTCACGCCTGTCACCCAGAGGGGTAGGCAGAGACTACGGACTTCCATTTGGCACGATCCTGACATACCTCTTTCGCCTCCTTTACATCCATATATCTACGCATACATGCTCGTCGGTTAAGGGTACTTCTAACGTGGCCCATTTTCAAAATATCGCCAATTTGGTCGATAAACTTTTTCCTAGGGCGTCCCTTCCCGACTCGGCCATTCACATCTGCCATATAAATTTGCTTTGTCACTCTTTCCTCATTCATTCTTTCTACGTGACCAAACCACCGAAGCATTCCTTTCTTAATCCTGGTCACAACATCATCTTGCATACCACATTTATCTCTTATCACGCAATTACTCACCCTGTCATTCAGATTACACCCTAGCATATTCCTTAAAGACCGCATTTCTACAGCATTTATTTTACTTTCGTGCTTCTTCTGCCACACCCAGCTTTCACTACCATACATTAAAGTAGGGACTAACACAGCATTATGAATTACCATACGTGCCTGTTTTGACAAATTCTGGTTCTTCATAATAGAGTGTAGTGCCCCATTCACTCTATTCCCTGCATTTACTCGTCGTTCTATATCCCTATCATATCTACCATCCCTGCTAAATACACATCCCAAATACACAAACTCATCCACTTGCTCAATCAACTCTCCTTCTATTCTTATTTCACATACCGTTTTGCTTTCTTCTCTTTCAAAAACCATCACTTTCGTCTTACTTGCGTTCACTTTCATTCCCCTTTCTTTTAATTCCCAGTTCATTAATGTAACCATCATTTGCAACTGTGCCGCCGATGACCCAAGTATGACTTGATCATCGGCATACAAAAGGCATTTGACGGTTAACTCGCCCATTCTTAACCCACATTCTTCATCTTTCAAAGTTTGCGAACACCGGTCCATAAATAGGTTGAACAGCCAAGGGGAAGCCACACAGCCCTGTCTGACACCTTTTTGGATGCCAAACCAGTCCGAGTAGACCCCATTGATCCTGACACAAGCACTAGAGTCCCTATAAAGAGACCTTAATGCCTGTATCAAACCAGCGCTCAACCCATATGAGTTCAGTGTTTGCCATAACACATTCCTGTCCACTCTGTCATAAGCCTTTTCCAAGTCCATGAACGCACAAAAAACTTTCTGGTTTTTGGCCAAAAACTTCTCCGCAATCATGCGCATGGAAAAGACTTGATCTGTACACCCCATTCCCTTTCTAAAACCCGCTTGCACATCCCAAATTTTTCCATCAGTTTCTTTCATAACTCTTTCAATTAACACCTTAGCATACAGTTTACCCACAATACTAAGCAAGCTGATACCGCGGTAGTTTTTGCAGTCCTGCTGTGACCCTTTTCCTTTATATATTGGTACTATAACTGCTTTACACCAGTCATCCGGTACCCGTTTTAATTCCCAACATAAATTAAACAAGGTGTACAGCAGGCCTGCCACCACTCCCTCTCCAGCCCTTAGCATCTCGAGTGATACTCTATCATATCCAGCTGCCTTACCTGCTTTCATGCTTTTCATTGCTTTCATTATTTCATCTACACTTATCTCCATACCCCTTTCCACTTCTTTCGGAATTTCTAGTTCATTTAATTCATACGACTCTTCACTCATAAACACGCTTTCAAATTATTCCTTCCATCTGTTTAAATTCGAAACTTCATCATTCAGAATACATCCATTCTCGTCTCTTATAGCATTTATTATAGGCTGTTTTGTATTTCCCCT